AAAAAAGAAATGATGATTAAAAAAATTATGAGATTTTTTTGATAATATATTTTTATATTTGAAATTTTTTTATAAAATATACGGTTATAAAATGAATATATATTTGTTTTGGAGATTTTTTTTGTAAATTGTGCTTTACTAATAAAGAATATTTTGTATAAATTAATTCTAGCTCCTAAAGGAACAATTATAAATTACCGATATAAATTAAGGGTTTTTTGTTTGTTTTTATACTTACTTTTTTTTCAGTGGTGCTCGTGACGCAGATCGGAAGATTTGGAATGATTCGGTTTTAAAGGTAAAACAAAATTTTTATTGATATATATTTTATCTGATAAATTTTTGGCATCGCAGTAGTACTAACACTAAATACGGATTTAATTGGGAATTTTTTGGTAATAATATCCATATATTCTTTTTATATAAGCATTTTTATTTAATTTGAATTAACTGGGAGGTGATCTTAATTAAAAGTTTATGAGCAAATGGGTTATTTTTTTAGGAATGGTGGGGAGCAGTTTTGGTGATAAAGTTCTCGTTTATAAGGATCTGGGTTATAAAGTTTTGTATAAGAACTTTCATGAATTGGATTTAGTAAGCAGCTGATTACTGTTGGGATATTGGTAATTATGTATTTATTGATTATTATATTGAAATTTTTGGTGAAAAGGGGTACTGCGGTACTGGCAGAAATGTATTGTAATTTTAAAGGACACTCCGGTGTTGGTTGTTTATGTTAAAAAAGTAGCAGACTTGGAAAGTAGTCTAAAAGGTGTTTTAGATGAAATCAAGGCTAGAAATGGTTTGGAGAAGTCCGGCAAGATCCTCCAGGAAGTAAAGGAGATGAAGGAAGTCATCAATGCGTTGATGAGGTTGAGCAGAAATTCTATGAGGTGCCATACATGTGAGCAAAATAATAATGGTAAAATTAGTTACAAGGAAAATAATGGAGTGTCAGTAAATAAAAAATTTGAGATTACCATTTGCAAACGTTGCGGGTGGAGGGGACACAAAAGGGATACTTGCGTGGTCCCAGAGCAAAGTTTTAAAGAGGGATTTCCGTTAAAGAAATCTGAAGTAGGAAATGCCAATGTAAAAATGGTCAGTATGAACGTGGCTGGATTATTTTTTAGGTGTAAAATGCCGGGACGTGTGGCTGTGGACTGCATGGAAATATCTCAAAATTTGTGTTGACTATATGATTGCAAAGTGAATCATATAGGAGTCGGGGCTCCGAGAGATCGGAAAATTTTTTATAACAAAACATTTGATGTTGTTAGTCGTGATAAGGGGAGTGATAAAATAAAAATAAGTAGTTATCCTCGTAATTCCTCTTGAAGTGATGTTAATCGGTTTAAGTGGGAACAATATCCGAGGGATATTTTCCGTTATTCCCTAAGAAGGGATGTCAGGAATTTTATTTGAAAAAAATGTCCCACAAATCTAGTTAAAAGAAATGTAATTGTCAGTAGTAAGCCTTTAAATTCCGAGTCGAGTTGAATTTAGGGGACAATGTGAATTCTAATGAAATTGTTATTTTCGATAGAATAAACATTGACTCTTCGATTGAAACATATGATATTTTAATGACGGAGAGATTAGATGAACCATGTACATGTTCGAGGGTTAATTTGAAAATTGACCATAGGAATATAGAGATGCTGTTTGATACCGGGGCTAGTATTTCTCTAATGTCTCAGGAGAATTTTTATAAGTATTGGCCTGGGGGTAAACTTGAAAGAGAGTTTGGATATTCTATGGAAGCTGTAGAGAATGACTTTGACATCAATGATGTTGAATGTATAGAATTTGAAATCATTGAAAATATTATTTAATACTTCTTTAAAATTTATTATGATATTGTAAATTTAGTAAAAAATTTTATTCAAAAAAAATTATTTATTTGTTTATTTAAGGGTCTAAAGAAGCCTCTATAACATAGCCTCAACACATTCATTGTTTGTGCCATACGATAAGTCTAATTGCCACAACAGATGTCGAGAGCTATTAAGGATTCTCCTAACATTCCTAAAATTCATCATCCTGCAATAGCTAAATGTACTAAGCTATGGAATGCAAATAATAGGCCTAAAACTGCAGAACTTATCAAAGCAGTTTTAGGAAAACAATTAGTTACACCTTGTTGCACTAGATGGAATAGTTTGTATGATAGTCTTCATAGTTTATTAAAATTTAAAGGCGAACTTCCTAAATTATGTTAAAAATTAGAATTTCCTAAATTAAGAGATATTGAAATTCAATATTTAGAAGAATATTGCAATATAATGGCCCCATTGGCTATAGCGATTAACAAAATACAGAGTGAAATCAACTGCTATTATGGAGAATCAGCTCCAATTTTAAATGTCGTTAAAAAAAAATTATAAATTTAATTCAAACCAATCTACAATTTTGCAAACCATTAGCTTTGCCATAGAAAATTCTTTAAATAAAAGATTTAAAAATATATATGATTTTGATAACAATTTTAAAAGTGATTTTTGGCAACTATTTCTCATCCCTATTTTAAAACTCGTTGGATTTGAAAAAGAAAAAAAATACCTTCAGGATTTGTTATTACATGAAGTTTTAATTGTTTTTAAAAATAATATTGAAATTAATACTTCAACAAAATCTTCAATTGATGAAGATGATGATTACTTTTGCTTTAAAAGTACCACATCCAATTCTAATAATTCAATAAATGATATTGAAATAGAGGTCCTAAATTATATGAAAGATGACAGGCGGAGTATAAATATCTTAAATAGTTATAAATATATAAAAGAAATATTTATTAAATATAACACAATATTACCCTCCTCAGCCCCCGTTAATATGGTTAATAGACCAAATCGTCAAAGATTGAACGATAAATTATTTGAAAAATTAATAATATTAAAAAATAATGCTGATTTATTATTATTTACTAATTATATAATTATTAAATGGAATATCGCATTATCTTTTATAATATAATTGTTTTTTTCTACAATTTATTTTGAATATTTTTTTATAAATTTATATTATAGATAAGAAAATAAAGCTTTATACATTTTGATTTTGACTATTTAAAGTTTTTTAAAAAAGTATCTTGTATCTTAGATACTTTTTTTTAAAAAACAAGTATCTTGTATCTTATTGAAATTTTTCTAAAGTATCTAGTATCTTGTATCTTAAATACAACATTTTATAAAGTATCTGTATCTGAATACAATTTTCTGAAAATTTGCCCAACCCTGACAGAGGGTAGGTACTGATTTTATAGGATAGGGTAGAAAGGGGGATTTGCCTCTAGTAAATTTTCTGTCATGTAGAAGTTTTACAATAAATTAATGTCAATCGAGAAGATACACCTTGTATAGGAAATCTGAAGAGGAAAAGCTGAGGGGCCTCTGGGTAGTAATAGGATCGAAGTCTTCAGTTAGGACCTACTTAATTAACTTAAACTTGTTTTACAATATTATTTTTTAAATTAATATTGTATATGTCGTAATTTTTAAAGGGATCATGACTATCCGGGATTTAATGGGATAACTAAAAAATTAGGGTTGATAATTAAGGAATGTAATCGTGATAAAGAGGAATCTTATTTTAAAAGCGTTTTCCACGAGTTTCGTTGCGTTTTTAATTTTCAATTTTGTTTTTTTTGGCCTTATGATATAAGATATGTCTAGTATAGGGTATCATTCGATAGCTAATCAAAAGATTTATTCAACTGGAGGTCAATCTCTGCCCCAGTGATAATACCGTATAGTTCTTTATCCTTTAAAAAATTGAAATTTTAAAGGGATCCCTTTAAATCCCGTGAAGATCCCGGATAGTCATGATCCCTTTAAAAATTACGACATATATATTAGAATGGTAGTAAGGATCTTTTACCTTCCTCAAGATTACTAAGCTATAATTCTAATTATTACAAATGATAAATTATGCAAGATAACAATGATGATTATTGACTGAAGCCTATCAATAATCTAAAATTTATTATCCTAGGCACTTTTTGGTAATAAATACAAAATAAAAATATAAAATACAGACTATAGATAGGAGCATCGGGTTTTTAGAAATTATACCAATTTACATAAAAAAAGCAAAACAATCAGATTTACAATTTAAAAAAAATTTCATGTACATATATTCGAGCCAACAAGAATAGCAACTACACATGTAACATTCAATTTTATTTGTATATAATTATAAATAATCGACTATTTAATCATAAGGAATTAAATTTATATTATTAAAAAGTGAAATTTTACTATTTAGTCTTAACTCTAATGATGTTCCTTGAATTTACATTTCTCATTATTCGATTTAATAATCTTTAAAAAAAAATGAGCCCTTGAAATGTAACAGTATATCTCTTGCAAGGCATTATAAAATATTATTCTAAAAAATAAATAATAATTATTAAACAGTTAGGTTTTATACCATTAATGTTTTTCCAAATTATTTAAAATTCATGTTATGAAAATTTTTACTTTAGATTTATCGCTTCAAAAAGATTGGGGCCATTTAAATCAAAATCTTACAACCCATCGGTGGGATTTTGATGGTGTGAGGTTTCGAAATCTCATAGATCACTTTCAAACGTTACACCAACCCTAAATATCAAAATGGCGCGGATTCAGTAAAATAGAGGGTTCGGTTTTTAGCTATGATTAAAACTCAAACGAAGGCTTGTAACCAAGTTCACTTTATAGAAGACTGGGGCTAAAGACCATGATGGAACAGAAACAAATGTGGCTTTAAAAAAGGATATTAGTAGAAAATCTTAATAAAACTCGGTCAACACTAAATCCATAATACATAACCGTTTTTTGTACAATTCCAAATTCAAATAAGTATGAGATTTTAACAATGACAGGAGAATCATTATTCTCCAATGACAACTGGGCCATATAGATATATTTTTTATCTCGAATTTCTAATTTAAAAAATCAAATCTCTTCGTCCAATCTTTTAAAATATTATTTATAAACCGCTGTTTCCATTACTTTAACTCAAGTGAGGCAAATATTTGGGTAGAAAAAACGCCGCGAACTGGTTTGTGGTCGGAACATTTAACAAGACCTACGTGGTCATATAATAAACAGTTAACAGGTTGAACATTTTTGTCGTTACTTATTTTAAATTTGTACAAGATCCGGTCCTAAAACATAAGATTATGTATAAAAAATATGTGTTAGGCTAGCTATAAAATCTCATTTAATACCAAGATAATAAATTGGAATGTATGTAAAATGTAGGGCTGTGCCGATCCACATATTTTTTTACCGATCCCCAATATCTTCCGATATTGGTTTAAAACCGATCCGATATTTATATTCCACTCCCCCCCCCCCTTTGAACCAAATATAATTAAGAAATCAATATTTTTTATACAAAAAATGGAATTAAGCATTTAATTTAATTTTTTTATTTCTAAAATAATTAAAAAAAGTTTACGGATATTGGTAGTATTCAATGAATTTTTCATTATTCCTCCCCGTGAAATTAGAATTCCGCAGATAACGCATTTTGCAAAATTATCTTTGCCTTTGTAAAATATTTCCATAATTCAGATACCATATTTAAAAAAATTCTTTTATTCAAAGTATAAATAATAAAATTTGGCCTTATTCTTTATTTCTTTTTTTATAAAAAAACTTTTAAAAAAACTATAAATCTATTTTAAAAAATAATAAAATTTATGGGGTTTGTGCATTTGCATTGTTTAAAAAAACATATTTAGAAAATAATATAATAATGTGAAATAAGTATACATAACATAAAATAACAAAAAAAGATCGGATGGGTTTTTTTACAGGTATCGGCCCGATTCGATATTTTTGGAAAACGTTAAATATCGTGCCGTACCGATCCGGTATTTAATATCGGCACAGCTCTAGTAAAATGTTTTAATGGGTTTCGCACACAAAATATTTTTTAAAAATGATATCGGAAGGAAGGAAAATACATTATAATAGTAACAGTAGTGTGGTAAAATTGCTTGGTTGGGTCAAATTAGCATGATTTTTGGTTGGGTTTTTGGTTGAAAAAATGAACCAAAACCAAATTGGTCGACCAAATCCATCGAATAAGCACCGACCCGATTTATTTTTTATAAATTTAAATATTTTTTTATTATCACATCAATATTTATCAACAAAAAAATATATTATTTAATATTTTTATTTATTATATTATGAAAATGGCTTGATGTTTTTTAATAAAAAAAATGATATGCTGCTAAATTGTAATATCATTTTAACAATAAATTTGTGATTTTCACGCCCAAAATTTTAAGCAATAGTTTATTTGATAAGAATTTTAAATTTTGTAAATAAATCTTTTTTGAGAAATTCTTTTGTGAATTATAATATAAATAAACATTAGGTGAATGCAATATTTTATAGTTTTTTTTAATCATTTTTCTGAAACTATTTTTTAATTCTTCTAAATTTATAATTATTTATATAAAATATATATATTCAATCGTTCACCTTAACAAATATTTATAAAATGGAGATATCTTATCTAACAAAATTCTGTATCTTTATTTTAATATGCCCAGGTTCAAAATAGAGCGGGGATAGTGTTATCACACGTCATTTTCCTTAAATATTAACCATAAAGATATGTAAAGAAAATAATTACTTTTAAATATTTTGATGCTTAGTTTATTTTTTAAAATAACCCCGGTCTCCCGTATTAAATTTTTATATTGAAACAATCTAGGTTTTATATGATTAGATTAGCTTAAGATTAGTTATTCCACACCTAGTCCCTATAAAAATAGATATCATGCACACCTGAATATAAAATCAACGACAATATATTTTAAATATGAAAATATAAAAAAATACATATTTAAATAAATATAATTATATTTATTTATATAATTCGTCTGATAAATTAAATATTTTGCCATACCAAAATGATAGGGCAAGGCATTGTCTGAGCGTTTTCGATGACATCCGATTTCTTTTTTTAGTAACAGTATCTCCATTATGAGAAAACCCGCTCGCTGGGGACAGTACTAGTTTGTTGAGCCAGAAAATCTCTCGCCATTTCAGTAAGGCATGGAAATCGTGTCTAATTTCCTCTCCACCAATGATATATTATATTAATTTTTACTATAAATAGTTTTTGAGATATAAGTATTTTAAATTTTTACAGATTATAAAGCAGCTCTTTTTGTACCGTTAAGCCTCTAACTCGAGAGCCAGGTCTGCTAGCGAGCTGAAATAAACGGCTTTCTCATTTTCTTATCTAAGTAATTCCACTACTTTTTAATAATTTTTAAAGGGGTCGGCCGAAAATGTGCCTTATTTGATTGATTTGACGAAATGGCCCATAAATTATATTTTTGTTAAATTTTAATTTTAGCTAATTTAAAAAGACACTTAGGAACATCTCATCCTTCAAAAATATCTGTTAGTAGCACAACCCCGGATGTGATGACGGGAATAAGAAAACCGTCAATTAGCGAAAATTTAAAATTAAATCATCTAATACTATGATATCTTATATTATCAAATATATCTTTCACAATAGAACATGAATATTTTAAGGAAATGATTTATTATTGCAATAAAGGTTTTAAAATATGGACCAGGCCAACAATGAAAAAAAATTAGAAACAATATATGAATCGGCCAAAGAAATAATTATCAAAAAATTATATCATATCAAGAATTTTGCAATCACTACAGATTGCTGGTCTAATCTAAATTCAATAACCTACTGTGCTATAACAATTCATTACATCAGTAGTGATTGGACAATGATCAATATGCTCCTTACAATTGTTTCGTTCCCACATCCCCATACGGGACAGGAAATTATAGATTTGTTTGCTTTATTGAATTTGAAATTACTTCAAAGATTTTATCAATTACTAATGACAACGCTAAAAATATTATTAGTGATATTAATATTTTAAAAGAAGATTTAAAACTTTTATACAAAAGAATCTATATAATAATCGTTGCTTAGCGCATGTTATAAATCTAATAGTTCAAAAATGCCTATGTTATTTATCTGATAAATTAGAGGTGATTCATAGACTAATAAACAACTTGCATACCTCTCCAAAATTAATGAAGGATTACACCAAGATTAGTGATGGTAAAAAATTCCATTAGATGTATCTACACGCTGGAACAGCTCTTATCCAATGATAGATGCTGTAAATAAGGTATTTTACAAAGTATTAAATTTTATATCATTGTATACATTATTTATATAATACAGAACATCGATGCAATTGTAAAGTTAGGAGAAATATCACAAGGCAAGAATATGTTCCTCATAAATAAAGATTTACGAGAATTATTAAAAGATCTCCAAGATTTTAATCAAATATTTAATAATAAATATGAATATTTCTGTTAATATTGAAATATTCGCTCTCTATGCATAAAAATATAATTGAGCAAAATATTAACAATCAGTTCACAATAAAATAATATAACTCTGGTTGATGCTCGGGTCGATGGATTTGGTTGCTAAGGTTTAGGTTCATTTTTTCGACCAAAAACCAGGGTGGTGTAAAACCAACTAATTTACCACACTAAAAAAGGATATAAAATTAAAAAATATTACAGTATATGAAGGAACGCGATTTTTATGAGATGTGTCATAAGTGTCAGTTCCAATATCGTATTTGTAGGTTGGTGGAAAGGTTATAGGTGATTCTCTAAATCCACGAAAAAGAATTCCTAAAATTAATTAATTTTTTTGAAAGATTCCATGATTTAAAATATAAAATTTTACTTAATATCTGTTGAAATGCAAAAATTGTATATAAGTTTAAATAATCGTTCATTTACGTCGAATGTTTCATAAAAGAATATTAATGGTAAAATTGCCTTAAAAGGAGAATAAAAATGACCTAGAAGTTACATAATATTCAAACCGGAACTCTCGGAACCGAGATAAAACTAGGAACAGGAACCAGATCTCTTTTAAAATATATAGAAACCCGAACCAGATATAAAAACACTATAAACAATTTATATGTTTATTATTCAAAAGGTTGTGAACATTGTGAAACCAAAACAAAATTAGATCAACCGGAACTTTTTTTTAAATTGAAAAATATTCCGAGCCATTTTTAGTTCAGGTTAGCTCTTATTATAATTAAGTGAATGATACAAAAATTTGGTTAATCGATAAACTTATATTATGTCATTTAATAAATTGTATATTAATGCAACAAGCAAGATCGAAGATTTTAAATTAAGTTGTATAATTGCTATATAATTTATGGTATTTGTGTATAAATGATAAAACCTCGATTCATGATACGGTGAAGTTGGTCGAAGGCTACAACGGAACTGAAACTGTAACGTTCTATCTTCTGCTTCTCCTCAATCTTGCGCCGTATAGTAGGTTCGGTCGTATCCTCCAGCCGAAAATTGAAATCGCCGAACCAAAATATATTGTCATAGATTTCAGTCACATCACGACCAGCTATAATATATAATTGTAGTGTTGTAAACGTTACTCCAAAAAAGAAAAGCGTTATCTTTACTCGTTCTGTGATAAAAGGAAGAACGCGTTACTGTCTATTAAAAACTAACATCAATATAAAATTTGCAACCTAATTTTTGGATAGTTTAAAATTTTTCTGTAATACTCGTTACTTAAAAAAAAATACCAAATATTAAGTATAAATTTCCTTTTTATTTATTTTTTCCCCATAGATAATAAAATTAAACAAAAATAATATGTTATAAGATAAGTTTTTTGTAATCATTTTTTTCAAAATTTTGATCAGTTACACAAGAGGGCTCACAGTTTCCGCTGTGCTAATCACATGTTCAACTGGCGCAAAGGATGGGAAGAGGAGGTTGTGTTATAATTAATAAACAAAAATTTTAATTGAGGGAATTCATAATAAATATTTAAAGAATGATCTTTATTTTCAAAAACTTTATTAGATCATCTTCATTAAAATCTATCTTTATCAGAATTTAATCTTAATTCATATTTTTTCCCTTATGTTTTTGGAATTTGAGCTGCACATCAAGGTGAAATATTTGAATTAAGGCACAATCTACACTTACAAAATGTAGACCTAGTACCTTTAATTTCTTTATTGGTGTAAAAAATGTTTCATACTAGGGTCAGAGCTAAATCATCTTCACCTGAAGAAATAAATAGTATTGATATATACTTTGTAAAATAAATTTTAATGTTAGAGAATATAAATTAACATACCTTGATTGATTCAATATTAATTATAGTAAGAATCTTTATTATTTAATCTTATCCCTTTTACCAGCTCATCAATGTCTATTCTTAATCGCAAATATCTTTACATATATTCCGTTCTGCATTTTTTTTTCTTAATAAACAATTTCATGACTAAAATTCAGGACAATTCAAAATATCCGTCGAAAAATTTTAAATAAAGAATTATCACCTTTTAGCTTTATCATCCTTCTAATCATACAGATTAATAAACTATGATTTCAGGATTCATATCCCCCGCCGACTATTTATTGGATGACGGAGCAAATAGGTGGGAGAGCAATACACCCTCAAACACTCCTTTCTAATTAATCATCACCAAAAAATTTTAAAACCCTTAATACTCAACTTATAATCAGCCATATCCTTCAATCCACCTTTAAACTGTATCACTTATCCAATCAGAAGACAGATTTGGTGGTCACGAATGGTTAGAAGCATTCCCTAGTCGTAACCTTAGTATTTTTTATAAGATTAATAATTGAGTCGCCACCAGTTTACGCATAGGGTATAACATAATTTAGCCTCACACTTGTGTTAAATGTAATACTCTAGTAGATTCGAAAGGCAGACACGGGCTGAATTGTTTATTCAAGGAAGACATCAATGCCACACTTCAACAAATCATATCATTAATAAATGTTCAGCAGCCGTTAACATACAACCATCCCCTGCAGACAGATTAAGACCTGACGAATGACTACAATTCCCAGAGCCCTCGGTAAATCTTTAATATGGGATTTTACTTGTGTCCCATCATTCCCTTCTAACACCAACATAAATTTACAACCCGGGTCAAATCAAAAAAATATGAAGACCTCAACAACTTTATATTTGTATAGTCATCTCCATAAAATGCCACTTTTCGCTTAAAACTTTAACCATAAGTTCCGAAATCAGTCATTTCACCAACGAGGCTAAGTAATACCTTTTTATCCGACTAATTTATTTAGGAATATTTTTAATTAATTAATTTAAATATATTTTCATAGCTTTTTAAATAATTTTATTTTATAAAAAAAATTAACAAAAGTGTAATAAACAAAATAAAAATGAAGAACTTTGTTGGTTGTCTGAATTAAACCCTATCTTAAATTATTTATCTAATTAAAAAAAATATAATAAAAATTATTTTTTAAGAAAAAATTTAAGATAACCAATAAGGTTTTGCGTATGATAGAAAGAATATAAAATAGAGTTCTGCAGGCCAGAGCCCGGCGGACCACACTATTATAATAAAATATATGTCTGGCCCCTGTCCCGTAAAAATATCAATTTATAAGTATTCTTCCTTGTTTTGTTTAATTGAATATTACAATTTTAAACATATTTAAAAAAATAAGAAAAGTTATTAAAAAAATCAGGTGGGAAATATTTCATATTCATTCTCAATATCCTATTTAGTAATAAATAGAATAAAATAGATAATAAACATGATTAAATTATGAGTTATATTTCATAATTCTATTTATAAAAAGTTGGTCAGGACTAGGCCTTAAAAATTATTTAAATCGAGTTTACAGGTCTTTAACATAAATAGTCTATTTGTAGTATCATATTATTCAAGTCATATAAAAAGATCGATTAAGGAATCGTGAGTAAATTCTGTATTACAATAAAATTAGGTTCCTTTGCCATGTACCTTTATTAAAAAATCGTTATAAGATCATAATATAAATTTGCTGGATCATCCAACATCCAGAATTGAATCCTTTCGAAAATATGCTTAAACCTGCAAAAGTATTTAAGGGTTTTTGCCCGCCACTGACAAAATTTTGAATAGAGTGTTAAATTTTGTTTATAAGTACATCAATTAAAATCAATAAAATTTTAATTATAAATTCAAATCAAAAAAGGATGGGTGGATAATTTAAAATTGAATAGTATACATAAACATTTTTTATAATTTATAACAAACAAGAAAGGAAGTTGCCAGAAGCGGTTTTAGTAGACAGCACACATATCTATCTATGTTATTGCTATGTATTTGTGTCTATTTATTGAAAAGAAGTTTTACTATTATTTTTTTACATACTTAAATCTATAAGAATTTAATATAGATTTATTTATATTATGATATGAATAATTTGATTTTTACACTTTTTTCGCTTTAAATTAAAAATAAAGTTATAAATAAATTATAACAAGGAGTAAGAATTTTCCTTAATATGGACCGAATTCTCTTATTAAAAAAAAAGCCTAGAACATTTATTTTATTTTAAAGATTTAAAACAAGCATGTTCATACTATTTTTTCGACGTCTCTTGCAAAAAGGTAATAATTTGAATGCCGATCTCATCTTGAGTCGTTCTATAGTATGGGAGTAATTCTTTATCCTGATTTCAGCATTTTTTTCGTGAGCTATAAGAAAAGACAATATAATTAATATATTCACTCTACACCATAAGAGCACAATTTAAATTTTAAGGTTACTAAAAGAAATGATCTTGCTTCTATAGAGAACTGATTCAGAGGAAGTTATTTTAAGAAAAGATATTAAGATACTCTATTAGCGGTTAGTTCAAAATACATATTATCTAGTTCCAATTTTGCTACTGATATAAATTAATAATATATAAGGGTTATTTTAAGGTTCATTCGTTGCGTAAAAGTATAAATCATGATTAAGGATATATAGACTCATATAAAGATAGATTAAGGGATCTCTATAGGCATTAATAAAGGATGATTCCAATTATATAGTGAAATTATAATATAAAGTTAGATATCCCATCATACTATTATAGGTCTCCAATACTAAGTAAGATAACCTATATGTCTTTTACGGATTATAGGAAAATTACTAAATAATTATTAAATACTTACAACAATTTAAAAATTACTAGGTTTTTTATAACGTCCTTAGATTGATTACATAATACGTACAAAATTAATAAAATTTCTCAATATCTAAAATCTAACTAATTAAATAATAATTGTATTTGGAAGAAGTTTTATTTTTTCTTGCTCTTTTCCTTCTTATCTTTTCTCCTATACACTCATAACTATACTGTACTCTAATACTATAATTGGATAGGGTGTAGTTCCACTCATTATGATAAAACACATTTGAGTTATAAGGTTTGTTGGTACCCTTGAGAAAAAAAATCGGCATAATTATATGGAGGGTGGGCCTCCATATAATTCACGTTCGCTCACTTTGGGCAGGCCCATGACCAACGTGCTTGATATGATGATTAAGATAAGGTAAAAAAATTGCATATATACTCTTTATTATTGGAAATTTACTCTTGTTTTATAATGCCCACTTTTATCTTTCACCAGATTCTTAGATGATAAAAATGCCATTTTCTAACTATCATCTGAAATATTAATTTTTCTTATTTTATGAGTCGTAGAATTAAGAGTTTTCTAAAAATATTTTAAAACCTGTAACTCAAGTTTCAAGGGTCGTAATTTTATTTCATTAAAAAGTAATAGGACCACTCAATGACGATAGTTTCAAAATTGATCTGTGTAAAAGTTTCAGCTCTGCCATAAATAAATAAAATGGGCTAAGTTAGGCGTAACAAAAATTTCCCTAAGGTAAAAAAAACGGATATCGTCATTTTTAAATGATAAAATATATAACATATATTTATATAATTTTTTTTTTTTGATTGCGATCTTAAAAATTATTTCTTCAATCTTTTATAGCCAAAATATAAATGATGAGCTATAATTTGTGGTTCATAGTATTTCCATTTATTAATTCCTAACATTTTATGATCATTAACATAGTTTAATATCTTTAAATAAAAAATAGAGGTAAAAAAAATATTTAAATATAAAATTTGATGCTACTAGTTTCTTTGAAACGTTGAGAGTTTGAAGCGTCAAATATGAAGATCGGAATCAAATCCTAAAATTTACGGGAAAAGGAACTCCTTTTAAAATATTAAGGAATCGGTTCTAACAAGAACAACTAAAATTATTAAAAATTTTGTGATTCATTTTAGGAGTTTTATTTAGTGATTTAAACTTTTCTATTTTCTTGATTGCTTATTAACATGGAACGGGAACTCTCAGAACGTAGTCAAATCTTAGTAGGAAACATAATATTTTTATAAACTTTAAGAAACAGGAATAGCATTTTAAAAAATGTTCAGAACCGGAACACTTTTTATTCCAGGTTACAAAGTTAACTTAAAAATAGTTAAGATAAAAATTCCTAAAATTAAATTAACGAAACTCTATATCTGAGCCAAATTTAATTAATTTTGAATACTTGTATATGTATATTATTTATAACATATGTAATTTCGTATAGTTATAAATAAGAAAAATTACTTAATAAAATTTGAGCAAAATTTTAATTGAAAAATTAGCTAAAAATGGTCTAAAATAGGATTAGCATTATAATCAATTATCTTTTTTTTGTATTCATATTAATTAATAATTATGTTTACCTTAAGAATATTTTATTATTCCACATTTGTCATTTTACAATATTTTGCATTTAAGTTTTAATTAATAGCTAAATTTAATTATCAATAATCATTCATAATAATATCTAAATAGGATATTTAATAAAATATATAGTATATTAAAAAAAATAACATATTGTTAAGTTGAAAGGAATTGATGATCCAAGAATTAAAAAAACAGTTATTAACAAATTTCAATTGATATCGTCGCAAATAGTATCCTTAATGTAGGCAGATATTTATTAATCGTAATGCTTGGCCAATATTTTTTTAATAGTTAAAAGGCTGTAGGTCAGAGTGAACCAATATACTATCGGAACAAATGGGATGTTGTTGTATTTATTTGTTTTTGAATTTTCTTAAATGATTCGCAAAATGGTATAGTAATCACATCTGGCCTTGTTTGGTTGCAGGGGTTGAGGGCACAGGGTTCAGGAGAGAATATTAGTGGTCATCAAGGTTCTAAATAATATTGAATTAGCGGCATATGCCAAGAAGTCTATCTCTTTAAAACGACAATGAAGGGGATGATGATTCACTATCAATATAGCTATTACATAGTAAACAAGTGGAAGGTATTACAATATCAAATCGAATTCGAAGCCCAGTGGAAATTTTTAATTCTTCATTTGTAAGTAAAGGTTCTAAATTGAAACTTGATATTGTTTCTATCCATTCAGAACCAAGTGAATTGGGGGTATATTTGAAGTCGGAAAGTTTGATTCGGGAATGGGATTATTGGTATTATCTTCCGATAAAGGAGATTTATAGTTACAAAAGAGAAATACCCTTTGCACCGATTTCAAATGTAGATATTCAGCGGAAAGAAGTTAAATCCCAGTTTTTTCGGCAGGAGTTAGGATAAGACGGAGGCAACTATAGAATTTAGAGAAGTGAAACTTGCACCCAAGAGAGAAAAACATTGAGATCAATAATAGCAGGGGTGGGCGAGGGATAAAAATTTAAGATAAAGGATTGATTCACGTATATTTTTTAGGTTAATTTCAAGATCTAACAATATGTCCGATGGTATGAAGATCTAGGATGAACGCAACGAGTGTAGTATTTAAAAAGAAAATTTTTAATTAGGTAAAAGGCTTGATGAGCATGTAGAAATGATTGAATTTTTCTACATTTGTTTCTAAAAATATATGGCCTTTTGGTCACCGATGGGCGAACCAAGGTGCGTAATACTATTTTTATCAAAGATTAAAAATTTATCGGGGGCCTGGTTTAAATCAGAAGATAAATAAGATTCATATTTAGTTGAATAGAGGATTAATCCTGCTATAGTGAATTAATTTATCATTGATGAAATCTTCAAATACTCATGATCGAGATACCATACATTGAGTTTCAAATCATAATTATTTGTAATTTCATCTATAATGAGCTAATGCCATGGCAAAACAACGCGGAACCGAGTGGATCACCCTGTTTATTACCTTGTTTTGAGAGAATGATGAAATTTTAGGAAAGTAGATTAATTCTAATAAGCCGATAAGTATATAGTATATTCTGGAATTTTTAGAGAAAGAAGGAACAAAGTGTTCCCTCTTGGGTGAGTTAAATGTATTTACAACAATTTTTAGGAAGCAGAGGTCTGAATGTAGGGGAAAAGAATACGGGTGGAATGAGAAGCTGCTTCACAAACACCGGGAATATTGAATCCAATTTTCATTTGGTTATTTAAGGGATATTAGGCGGGCATTGAAGGTGTGATATTAAGTTTTGGTGCAGAATGCAGGATTTGACGATATCTCAGCTAAATGACTTTAAAGCTATCAATACAGGTATTAGGATCTCGATTTCTGTGAGTGGGTCTGTGTTATCTGAGAGGGAGAGTGACTGGAGTGAATTCTTGTGGATGTTTAACATGTAAGACTTGTGTTTCTTTATTATGGGAAGTTATTATATTATTGGAACAGGTTATAATAATTGCTGCTTTATATTACATAAATTGATTTTGTTTTCAAACAATTTAGCCCTTTTATTTACTTTAAAGGTTTGATTTTGAAAGATGTGTTAAATTTTGAGATGGTAAATATGTCTTGCCGCTACTGTTAAGTGACTTTTCGATATTTTGAGTTAATTATAAAATTGTAACTTAGAATAAGGAGTATGTAGAGGTTAAAAATTCTTTTTAGTTCTCAAGATTACCATGTTGCTGTTTAAAAAAGTTAAAAGTGGTAATTTTTGTGAAAATAAAATACGAGTGGAATCCGGGCAATAATAGTTAAGAAGGATTCATTGGTGAACCGGTACCCATTACTGTTCAGCAGAAATGGAGAATAATTAAATATTTACAGAAATAGTGGTTTAAGTTGTGGAAGAAGAATCTTTCATTATAGTAATATTTATCAATACAAGGAAACATGAAGGAGACTAATAATTTTTTCTTCTTTGATGACATTTACATTATTATTGCCTCTGGGGCAAATTACCACATATTTTAAAGAATTTGATTTGGTAAACATGATATATATATATTAGAACCATTATTAATATAAATGTTGCAATGAGTTTTAATTAAAATTTAGGCTTTCTGACCTGATTAGGATTTTATAGAACATTTGAACTTTGTTAAAACAAAATTAAGATTTAATTTGATGAATTTAAATATTCAAATAATATAAATTTTCGCTCACCATAAAGAAATTATTATATATGGTAAGAGAGATAATAGATGCCCTTCCTTGGTGAACCAGTCTCTCATGTTTCCCTGCATTGAGAAATAATATAAGAAAGATTCCATCTCCCACAACTTCAGCCAGTTGTTATAAATATTCAATCATATGAGCGGAATGGATACACAGGTTCACCGATGAACCCTTCCCAAAGCTCGTATTTTATTTTGGCAAAAATTATTGTCTCTTTTGGCTTATTTAAACACCATTAGAAATCTTAACTGGAAAGAATTTTTAACTTTTATAT